GAAGATTCTGTATTCGATTTACAGACTTCTCCCGGAGAGTGGTTTCTCTATCAATTATATATAATTTGATTATTTAAAATTTTGAGGCAATCTGGTTGGTGATTTGCGGCCGAGAACTCACTTCACGTTAATTAAAAAGAGCTTTCTTTAATAAGGATTCCATCAGTTGTGCGCCGGGGTCGACAACAGGATTAATAACGAATATACGAGGTTAGGTTTTAAGCTTTTATTGCTGGGGAAATTGATAATATAATGAAAGATCTATATCACTATCAGATGTTAAAAAGTTGGCCGGCATACTTCATTTGAGATCAACTAACTAAGAAACTGGATAATGTTGGAAATCTGGAGAAAAAAAATTCGCAAACATTGATACGACTATAGAAATATATTCAACAACAATATCCATTATTAATATTGAACAATGGATTAATTATTGATTTAGAGCGGCCTTTGATGTATAAATCTTTTTTCGTTGCTTCGGTACCTTACGAAATCAAGTTTTTAAAAAATAAAAAAAAGAAAGAAAAAAGTTACATCCTCGGGAACGTCCCATGCAGGAGTAAAATTCTGTTGATCTTACGTGGTAGTATAGCGAGAAACGAGCGACAGAATGTTACACCTGGGTTCCCGAAGATGCTGACCATTCAGTACAAGATGATACAACCGTTTCGAATTAAGCTCATTTGGAAACCTTTTTACTTAAATAAGATGTTATCTTAAACACTTTAGATTTGTCATGGCAGCCATAGACTTAACGTGGGGTATTTTCAGCTAAATGCACCTTACACTGAGATTTTAAATCTGTATTACAATCTGAGGTTATGTTATCTTGGTATGGTTGGTTGTACTCAATGAATAATGGCGACCAACAAAATGGGAACAAAAAGAAAGAAATAGAAAGGTGGCAAGAGTAAAAAACACGATAAACTTTTTAAAAAAATCTAGCAGAGACATTTAAGATAAACAGAATAAACTAAGATGAGGAAGTGAGTGAGTTAATTAATGGATGAACGAACGGACGAGGATAAAGCGGAAGGAATCGATCAATCAATCGCAATTAAAAACGAAAGACAAAAGACAAAAAGAAGAGACAATTAAGAACGAAGAACAGAGAAAAAAGAAAGCTAAGATAATGAAAGAAAAAAAAGTAGAGGATTGGAGGAATAAGGTTGATGAATATATATATTTATTGATGAGTTGCAAGCATTCCCAAGAGAGTTAAAAGACAAAAACATGGCGGCCATTGTAGTACCCTTAACAATGGATGCTAATGAGAAATCTTTTGTTAAATGGTAACAACATGGCCGCAACGTAACGTGCAAACGAAGAATATTATACTGCGGTTAGCATAAACTTTGATCCTTTTGTGCATATATACAAGTATATCAAAAGCATATCAAAAATTATGGGATATCGTCCCTGATATTTTTTTCGATTTGTCTATCACTAGGGCTTTCTGAAAAAAATATCTGGGAGGATATCCCATAATATTCGATATACTTTTGATATACTTGTATATATATGCACAAAAGGGTCAAAGTTTATGCATATTGCAATGCATATATATATATGATGAATGAAATATGAATAGAATGGGAGGAACCAAAAGAATAGAAAATGAGAAAAGCGGTTAAAAAACGCGTGCGACTTTCATCTTAAATCGATCGTTGTGTATCAGAAATAGTCAATCAAACCAGCTGCATAGATGTCTAGAAGGTTAGCTTTTGCGGTCTTAAAACCCACATATGCACTTCAGTTAATTCCTCACAATAATCATTTATTATCGTAAAACCAATACTTTTAAATCTTGTCGTCTGGGTCACTTCCTAGTACGAGTACAAAGGTAAAAGAATTAAATATTACTTTATTCGTATTTTTAAGCTACAAAAAAAAAGTGTGGTCTTAGACCGGCCACGACGTGCGGCGTTTCTGTCTTCACTTGATGAATTCAGTAACGTGATTATGTAGCCTTGAATGGAAAATTCTGTCGAAAAAAATCAAAAACCCGTACGCGTTCTGTGTGTAGTTATAAAGCACGCGGGCAATAGGGAAGGACCATTAGATAATTGAGGAGGGGACTGCGTAAAAATGGTAGAAAATTGCTAGGAGCCATGGCGAATGCTTCCCAACACTTTTCTCGTGTTCTGCCAATCCCAACGTGCTTTATGACTGCACACAGCACAGCAAGCAAGTTTTATAATCCTTTCAGAAAATATGAATTAGCATAGCAGATATATGGATTGAATGATGAAATATAAAATCCGCGAGTGTGCTGCGTGCTCTCATACTAAAAACGCGCACAAACCAATCCGGACAGCATTTTTTTTTTGTTTTTGTTTTTTTGTTTGTTTGTTTGTTTTTTTGTTTTTGTTTGTTTGTTTGTTTGTTTTTGTTTGTTTGTTTGTTTGTTTGTTTGTTTGTTTGTTTGTTTGTTTGTTTGTTTGTTTGTTTGGGGGGGGGGGGGGGGGGGGGGGGGGGGGGGGTATCTTCGACGAACAACCCTCCTTAAGTTAATCACATATACTAACTTGAAACGATGCGCGCTTTTAAAAGCTAGCTTGATCTTGCGATCAAGGCTTATCATACTAATGTAATAAAACCCTCAAATGACGTCATATTCATTTTAGAAATTGCTTAATTCCCTTGTCAATTAATAACATACTTTGCAGATATAGAAAGGATATTCAATATTCAAAAATCCCAGTCCAAAAATCTAGTTTGTTAATACTTGTCAGTGGTTGTTACGTTTTGATTTTTTTCAGTCATTCAGTCACGCATTTACGCTTTTATTTTTTTTTATAAATGGTACGTTGAGAACATCTGTGTGGACGTTTTCGCGAATCGATCAATGAAGGTTACCACCAGCCTCTTCTGAAAGAAACGCTCTCTTTTTGCAACTCGTTTTAACGTTTGAGGTTTCCGATTGGTACGACACAGTTCCCTCAATACGCGTAACGAGAGCTTTTAACCTGTGGAGAAGGATTAAAGGAAAAAACAGTGATGTATATGTTTTCAAGTCTACAATCTTGGTCACGTTGGGTCTTGGCAATAGGAGCCATGATGTTGGGAAAGATCTAGATCTCTCTACATGAGATGTACGACATAGAGTTGTGCTTTATTGTGGATGTGCTTTACTGAATTTGGCAATTATTTTAAACGATCACTTGAATACTAAACTCTTGATTACAGGACACTTCATTAAAGCACTGCATGTTAAATAACAGAACCAGATAGAAGGTTCCATAATTTACCTTAAATGAAATCATATTTCATAGTGCGACGACAGAAGATTCTTCTTCAAGTCAACGTCGTTCGTGGTTGTCTATGGCCGAAGATTTAAAATTATGTTCAAATATAATTCAGAATATTTCAATCTCGTGATTCCTGATCACTCTTCAGGTCATGTTATGTCAGTAATCTCTTAATTGTCGAAGTAAAAGCTTTTTTTTCTTTTTGAATTTGGCTAAGAGAACTGTTTTTCAATTATAAAAGGTTAAGAGGGAAGGTGGATCAGTCAGTCTATAAATGAGCTTAAGTAAACCACACGACTAAGAACATGACGGTCCGTTACTACGCTGCAAATGGATGGATCAAAATGAATAGATAATAGGGAAATAACTTAGATTATGACAACGGTTGAGCTTACAAAGTGCAAGATTAAAAGTTATATTTAGTAAGTGAATGATAGCTAGTAGATAAATCATATCTTCAAGCACAGGGGAAAATAACAGAAAATACGAACGCAGCAAACTATATTCCACAAATAATCCGGTCGGAAGTAAAACATAAAATGGCATAACATTCATTTACGTCAAATTAGGAAAAAATACAAGATCCTGTAGTTATATGGTAGACTTTGTCTTATCAAACCGTCCGGACTTTGACCAAATCGTTAATGGCAACTCTGTTTATTCTTATTTAGTATGCAATGACTTCTCATCATTTTAGGACATTAATTTTCTTCAGAAGTTTTCGGTTCATCAAATATATATATTGATATATAAACGTCGAGCTATCAATTAAACATTGAGAAACGTTCGCATATTCATTTATATTAACGAGTGCACTGTCGCAAACGCGGCTTTCTTTTGTGAACTGAAATGATTTTTTTCTCTGGCCCCCTTAGCAAGTACAGCACTCCCCAACGGAAAGCCCATCCGCTTGCCAAACAATTGATCACACACAGCAGGTAACGAGTGTTTTAATAAATTTCATCGCTTACCAAAAAAACTTCCTTCATCTTCGCCAACGTAAATGTTAGGTTTGATAAATGTGTTTTGTCAATTATCGCTCTGCGCCACTAACTGTTCTCGCTTTATATTGAGTGGGTCGCTGTTTAACGGTTCTAGTTTATTATGCAGCGAAACATCCATACATCCCTTTCCTCTCTATTATTTTTTTTCTTTTCTTTTTATTCTCTTTTTCATTAACCTTAAATAAAACGCAGCCCATAGTCGAAAGAAAGGAAGAGTTTACCCATCGTTGAGAGATTGAACCTGTCTTTATCAGCAATAATGTAATGTTTTTCACATTGCACACGTTCACTGATACACCCCGTGGTTTGAATACTATGAGCATTACTTCCTTTTTCATACCACAAATAAATAGAACCGTGAGAAGACCTAGCCTTGGAATAGCTTGTTCGTTAGCTAGGAACATAGATGATTGGCTCAAACTTTCTCCCACAAAGTTCTCTTTAAATAAATTTATGAGGGTCGTACACGATCATATCCTACAGTTTAATTTCAATTATATGTAATAACACTGGCCGCATGTGTGTTTTTTTTTTAGCCGTGTGGTGGCTCGAATCTGACAACTAAAATCATGGAATCTCAATTACGTTTTAGTCAGTTACTTGTGTTTTGACTTTATTGAGCAAAGTCAAAATACATTATGATTGCTTAATAAGATAGTGTTGAGAATTTTTGATTTCTTGAATTTACTTGTACCTTGGGAAATTTTCTTTCATTTTGTGGTTAGCTTGGTTGAGTGGAAGACGTCAAGGTCGTCAGGCTTCATCAAGGATTTCTAAAGCCATCACCAAATGCCACATACAGGATATGATAGGTGACAAATCATCGACCTTGGTAACCAGGCATTGATGCTCTTTACCATTCAAAAGGATCATACAAAGACTGTTCATTTCATTCAACATTTCTGGCCCCAAACGCAAGATCTCCTTCTGTCGTTTACAAGGATGTCGCTTCAAGATTTGATAAATCGATCGGATTCCCAGCAGAATAGTTCTAACGTAACGTTGCTGCCAATAGACACCTGCACAAGCACTACCACCTCGCAAGCAACTGTGATCTCCAAATCGATAGCTTACTCGATTATTCTTTGCGTATCTCTCATCGGTAACATTCTAGTGGTGTTTGTGATCTACAAGAACAGATCCATGCGCACCACCGTCAACTATTTCATAGTCAACATGGCCTTGTCGGATCTGATTATTCCTATTCTTGTTCTACCGCTCCGAATATCAAATGTGACATCATCGAGGGAATGGAGAGTCCATGGAACAATAGGTGCTTTCTTGTGCAAGTTCGTTTACTTTATTTCGGACATTACGCCAACGGTGTCTTCTGTTAGTCTTGTGTTGATGACGTTTGATCGTTTTTGCGCAGTTGCATTCCCGATGAAAGCAGCGTTGATCCCAGCAAGATATCGTGTGGTTCTCATAGCATTCTCGTGGGTGGTAACCATGGCGTTTTTCGCACCATATTTCTACGCGTTCAACCTGATGAAAAATGGAAACATGTGGATTTGCATGCCTACTTGGCCGAACTATTCGCATAAAATCTTCACCATTCTAGCATGCGTGCTGTTTATTATCCTTCCATTTGTGTTGCTTATCATATTGTATACCGCGATCCTTGTCATTCTTCGACGCAACAGAGGTGCTGGGGAAGAACTAGAGATGCAGCGAAAACGGCGAGCGAAAATCAACATTAGTGTGATCAAACTGGCCTTAACTATAGTAATTGTCTTTGCAGTTTGTTGGGGACCCTTGAACGCAGTTCTTTTTGTTTTAACATTATGGGATTATAATGTTCCTGCGAACCTTCGCTGTGCTTTGCCAACAATCATTGACGTAGTCCAGTTTTTAGCCTACTCCAACCCAGCGATTAATCCTCTCATTTACTTTATCCTAAACGAAAACTACCGAACTGGCTTGAAAAGAGCAATTACTAAAACCATTCATGGCCGAAATGCTGTAATCGAGTCAAGTGGCCTTGGAATCCACTCGGCACAGCACAGTCGCAATGTGAATCATTTCACAAAAGAAATAAGGATGACTCTTTTGAGATCCCCCCGTGGTTCAAGCTCATGAAGAGTTGAAAGAACTACGCCGACTCCGCCAACCATAAATCAGGTACTTTGGTACAAACAGCAACCACAGATCTAAACTAGTTGGCTTGCACTTCGTACTCGCTAATAACATTAAAAGAGACTGTATGTTTTCGTGTAAAAAAAGCTTGTCAATCAAGAACATGTTTAAAGCAACTTAAATTCAAACATTAAGGTTAATGCCTATAATAATACATTCATAGATTTGGGGCAAACCTTATTTGAAATAGCTTGGCTTTCAAGGCCGTGTTAGTTTTGCACTAGATACATGTTGCCAAGATTGCATAAGCCGCTTTCAGTTAGCGTATGTTCAATACTTTTAAACCAGCCTCCGCAAAGCCGTATTAACTAGACCTATTTTCCAAAAGTCATTATCTTCTGAGTCAAGGCAAATTGAAGTTATAAATCTTGTCAAAAAAATGTCGCTTTTGTTTCATTGGTTTTGTTTAAAATAATATCGCGAACTTGTCACTAGAGGAAACAAAATATGTACCAATATTCCTCTTCTTAGTTTTCTTTGCTAAAAACCTATCATCTTGGCTCATTGTTTAACAATCAAAAAGCCGGGTCTATCTTCCCCCGCTATTAATAAGAACACGCTTTTGACATTTGCTTTTCGAGATTGTGTTAGCATTTGTCTGTATATACAAAGTGATCTTACTGGCCTTACTTTCACAAACAATGTGGTTCTTGTTCATTTTCCCAACGGATGTGGAAGCGTAGATCGGTTCTTTGAGCATAATTATAACATAATTTGGTGGAAAACAAATTACGGTTCTATTGGTTTTTTTGTTTGATAATGAAATATAGTAGATAGTCACAGGGAGATTGTTAGTGTATACTGTATGTAAACTAAAACAAAGGAAAATTAAGTAAATGGGATTAAAAAAAAGATACGTTTGTTGGTTTTTGTGTTATTCTAACCGTACGAGTATTTTTGTTTTTCACTTGTGTATGTGGAGAAACAGCAAATCCAATAATGCTGATGATGATAATAATAATAATAATAATAATAATAATAATAATAATAATAATGCAGATATTTGCTTAGACTATTCATGCCCGCAATATTCTGTATTCATGTAGCAAAAATGTTGAAATAAACATATAATAATAATGTATCAAAGTGAGCTGATCCTCGCAGTGTATGAAGCGACTTATGCAGCTGCAAATTGAAGAAGACTCAGAAAAAATCTTGAAGGGGATTTGAATCCCTGCCCTGGCTAGACTCAGAATTTTTTCTGAGTTTTTCGATTGGCAGCTGCATAAGTTGCTTCACATACTGCGAGGATCAGCTCAATTTGATACATTACAACCGTAGTACAAATATATATTTCATATATATTCGATTCTCATACACAAAAAATAATAATAATAATGATCAGTAATAACTATAGTGATAATATTAATCTGGAGAAAAAGTAGATTTTCTTTAATGACTGTATGTCTCGGTGTCTTTCGTTGCATTAAGTGTACTCTTGGGTGTTTTAATTATTGCAAAATGGACTATCGCCGAAGGGGATTCAACTCCTGAGGGCGAAGTAGTTTGGTAATAAAAAAACGAATCACGAACAACTTTAACTACAACAAAAGGTTCTTATATCGTGACGGTGAATTAGTCCTCTAAAAATAAGTCGAAAAACGCTTGTCGAGAAATTGGGGTTCTATTTCTTTTACATTTAAATGAGACATTTTCATTTTGCATTCAAATTTCGCTTTTTGAAAGAAAGAACGCAAAAAGCAATTTAGATTTGAAATAAACCAAACTTCATTTTCATAAAACGTGAAAGTGAGATTATTTTTTCTATTATCTGGGATCTTTACTGATTTTCCTTATACTTTAAGAACCCCATTCAAACATCTAGCAACTGTCGTACTATCTATACATATAATACTGAAACGGCTTAAGATTCAGTGCACCAAAATATTGATATTAATATGATATTGGTCTGATATACAAGATAGAATCTTAATCTAAAGAGGAGGTAAAGTTGGAAGACAATTTGGACCCTTTAGCTTCCTCGGATAATAGATTTACGTTTAAAAATCTGCCTAGGTGACTTGAGTCTTTGTCAATATCTAGTAGTATTCTTCAGATATAGTTCATGTATCATATTTTGGAGTGCGATGGAGTAATAAACCAAATTTCGAGCAGAGGATTGTAAGTGGTGGATTTGGTAGTGAGTTTTAAGTGTGCATCTAGTTTTTAGTCTTGGGTAATTCATTCTTTTTCGTCATAAGATCTCGCTCCTTTAAACCCCCTTGAATATATTGCCTGAGGTTTAAGTGTGCATCTAGTTTTTAGTCTTGGGTAATTCCTTCTTTTTCGCCATAAGACCTCGCTCCTTAAAACCCCCTTGAATATATTGCCTTCTGGCCTATGATAGACAATGCAATATGGAATATGTGAGGGAAGTTTTAGAACTTAATATATAGATATTAATACTTAATACAATGTATAGAGAGGAGGAGGAAGAGAGAGATTCAGAGAGTAAACTCGTGATCAATATATTTTAATGGAAAATATCAGCGGCTTTAAAGTTGAGCCAGTGCCATACATCTTAGTGCCCTCTGGTTGTTAAAGCCACAATTCAATCCAATACATAAAAGAACATATTATCTGATATTTGAGTGTTTTCAGGAGCATTCCGCATCGTTTTTCCCTTTCCAATATATGTCCAAGCAGCAAACATTGACCTAAACATAACATAGTTTGTTCTTAATTACAGATATGGTAATGTACTAGTTTTAATTTTGCTCTCACGTGAGCCGATTACATATGCATGTTAAATAAGTTAATTGATGTTTTTACAACCCTCGCCGGATGTCCATGATGGCAACCTTGGTTTAAATAATATTTTTACTAAAAGCTAGACTCAAAATCTGCTGTGGTACTTTCTTGTGGTAAGGAAAAGCTACAACACAGACATCGAAGAACCATCRAAAGATAAATATTATAAATTGTTGTTGAAATTGGAGGTCTTTTTCCCCATCATTTGAAGACTACTAACCCGTTATCTTGTGGCTATGTAATAGCGACGCTACTAGGGGTCCAACTATAGATTTGGTGCACTGCTCGCAAGGTATAGCTTCTTTCTTTTTCTTCCTTTCTTTCTTTCTTCCTTTCTTTCTTTATTCCTTCCTTCCTTTATTTATTTCTTTCTTTCTTTCTTTTTT